GATCAAGTCTTAAAAGAAGTACTTTGGAAACCGATCTATTTCACAGACTCAAAATAAGGTCTCTGTGACCCATATTTTCCATGTAAATATTTGTAAGGATAGATTCTATTTTCTGATACTGCTATTAAAGTGAATTTTATTGAGGAGAACAAAGTGGTGCGGACATAATAGAACACAAAATTTCATAATTTGTTGGTCGTGACATGCCATGGCTGCCACTTAAAAACATTGTTTAACAAACTAACAAATTACTCAGCAAAGAATGCATTTGAAAATTGCAGTAATTCCAACATCGTCGTAGCTTTAAATATTGTTGTCAATTGCATTCTGATAACCTGAATTCTTGTATGAAATGACACGATGTCAATCGTGTCAGATTCAGTCAAAAACGTACAATGTTCATCATCGCTTGTAGGTCTAGTTTGCATAACAAAATTAAAAAAACACAGCGGTATATAAGCCAGTCTGTTTCTTAATAAATCCCACATACCTGATAACAATGTTTGGGACAAAACGAAATTACGACACTGCTTTCAAGCTTAAAGTAATCGCCTTCGCAGAGGAGAAGGATAAACATGCCACCACAAAAGTGTTTCGTGTTGACAGAAAACGAGTGCGGGACTGGTGTAAAACAAAGAAAAATAAAAAAATCTTTCTAAAACATCTAAACGCTGTAAAGGAGGTGGGAGGCATGTCAGATATGAAGATATTGACAAAAATCTGATGAGATGGCTACAGGACAGATGGGAGACACGAATACGAGTGACTGGGAAAGCATTGCGGTTTGAGGCCCTGTGTATGCATAAGGCAAATGGTAGTCAATCATTCAAAGCCTCCTATGGATGGTTTTCTAAATTCAAAAAGAGACATAACATTTCGTTCAGGTGATCTACGCATGTGGTACAACATGAAGTTTCATTAATTGATGATCGTATTGACAGTTTTTTTAATTCCGTGTTAAGAATGCGTCGGCTACGAGAATACCCCGATAGCCATATCGCTAACATGGACAAAACCCCGGTGTGGTTTGACATGCCAGGAAAATCAACATTGGCAATAAAGGGGGGAAAAGGAGGTCAGAGTTTACAGTACTGGCCACGAAAAACAAAAAATAACGTTGACACTGGCAGCATATGCCGATGGGATTAAAATCGCGCCCCTTGTGCACATGCCAGGCATTCGTCCCCTTCCGAAAGATGACATACCAAGTGGTATTGTGGTATACATGTGCGGGGCCGGACAAAAATCCTGGGCAAACGAGGAAAGTATAAATTTTGGTTAAAAAAACTCTGACTCTTTGCCTCTACGGTTATTGTAATCTCAGATAAATATGATCAGTTATCCTAGAACCACAACAGTACACTGTAAACCTTCCTCATCCTACCACAGCAGTACACTGTAAACCTTCCTCATCCTACCACAGCATTACACTGTAAACCTTCCTCATCCTACCACAGCATTACACTGTAAACCTTCCTCATCCTACCACAGCAGTAAACCTTCCTCACACTGTAAACCTTCCTCATCCTACCACAGCAGTACACTGTAAACCTTCCTCACTGTAAACCTTCCTCATCCTCCTACCACAGCAAACCTTCCTCATCCTACCACAGCATTACACTGTAAACCTTCCTCATCCTACCACAGCATTACACTGTAAACCTTCCTCATCCTACCACAGCAGTACACTGTAAACCTTCCTCATCCTACCACAGCATTACACTGTAAACCTTCCTGATCCTACCACAGCATTACACTGTAAACCTTCCTCATCCTACCACAGCATTACACTGTAAACCTTCCTCATCCTACCACAGCATTACACTGTAAACCTTCCTCATCCTACCACAGCATTACACTGTAAACCTTCCTCATCCTACCACAGCATTACACTGTAAACCTTCCTCATCCTACCACAGCATTACACTGTAAACCTTCCTCATCCTACCACAGCATTACACTGTAAACCTTCCTCATCCTACCACAGCATTACACTGTAAACCTTCCTCATCCTACCACAGCATTACACTGTAAACCTTCCTCATCCTACCACAGCATTACACTGTAAACCTTCCTCATCCTACCACAGCACACTGTAAACCTTCCTCATCCTACCACAGCATTACACTGTAAACCTTCCTCATCCTACCACAGCATTACACTGTAAACCTTCCTCATCCTACCACAGCATTACACTGTAAACCTTCCTCATCCTACCACAGCATTACACTGTAAACCTTCCTCATCCTACCACAGCATTACACTGTAAACCTTCCTCATCCTACCACAGCATTACACTGTAAACCTTCCTCATCCTACCACAGCATTACACTGTAAACCTTCCTCATCCTACCACAGCAGTACACTGTAAACCTTCCTCATCCTACCACAGCAGTACACAGTAAACCTTCCTCATCCTACCACAGCATTACACTGTAAACCTTCCTCATCCTACCACAGCAGTACACTGTAAACCTTCCTCATCCTACCACAGCAGGACACTGTAAACCTTCCTCATCCTAACACAGCATTACACTGTAAACCTTCCTCATCCTACCACAGCAGGACACTGTAAACCTTCCTCATCCTACCACAGCATTACACTGTAAACCTTCCTCATCCTACCACAGCAGGACACTGTAAACCTTCCTCATCCTACCACAGCATTACACTGTAAACCTTCCTCATCCTACCACAGCAGGACACTGTAAACCTTCCTCATCCTACCACAGCATTACACTGTAAACCTTCCTCATCCTACCACAGCAGTACACTGTAAACCTTCCTCATCCTACCACAGCATTACACTGTAAACCTTCCTCATCCTACCACAGCATTACACTGTAAACCTTCCTCATCCTACCACAGCAGTACACTGTAAACCTTCCTCATCCTACCACAGCAGTACACTGTAAACCTTCCTCATCCTACCACAGCACTGTACACTGTAAACCTTCCTCATCCTACCACAGCATTACTGTACCTGTACAAAACCTTCCTCATCCTACCACAGCAGTACACTGTAAACCTTCCTCATCCTACCACAGCATTACACTGTAAACCTTCCTCATCCTACCACAGCAGGACACTGTAAACCTTCCTCATCCTACCACAGCATTACACTGTAAACCTTCCTCATCCTACCACAGCAGGACACTGTAAACCTTCCTCATCCTACCACAGCATTACACTGTAAACCTTCCTCATCCTACCACAGCAGTACACTGTAAACCTTCCTCATCCTACCACAGCATTACACTGTAAACCTTCCTCATCCTACCACAGCAGTACACTGTAAACCTTCCTCATCCTACCACAGCAGGACACTGTAAACCTTCCTCATCCTACCACAGCATTACACTGTAAACCTTCCTCATCCTACCACAGCAGTACACTGTAAACCTTCCTCATCCTACCACAGCAGTACACTGTAAACCTTCCTCATCCTACCACAGCATTACACTGTAAACCTTCCTCATCCTACCACAGCAGTACACTGTAAACCTTCCTCAACCTACCACAGCATTACACTGTAAACCTTCCTCATCCTACCACAGCATTACACTGTAAACCTTCCTCATCCTACCACAGCATTACACTGTAAACCTTCCTCATCCTACCACAGCAGTACACTGTAAACCTTCCTCATCCTACCACAGCAGTACACTGTAAACCTTCCTCATCCTACCACAGCATTACACTGTAAACCTTCCTCATCCTACCACAGCATTACACTGTAAACCTTCCTCATCCTACCACAGCAGGACACCTACCACAGCAGGACACTGTAAACCTTCCTCATCCTACCACAGCATTACACTGTAAACCTTCCTCATCCTACCACAGCAGGACACTGTAAACCTTCCTCATCCTACCACAGCATTACACTGTAAACCTTCCTCATCCTACCACAGCATTACACTGTAAACCTACCACAGCATTACACTGTAAACCTTCCTCATCCTACCACAGCAGGACACTGTAAACCTTCCTCATCCTACCACAGCAGGACACTGTAAACCTTCCTCATCCTACCACAGCATTACACTGTAAACCTTCCTCATCCTACCACAGCATTACACTGTAAACCTTCCTCATCCTACCACAGCATTACACTGTAAACCTTCCTCATCCTACCACAGCAGGACACTGTAAACCTTCCTCATCCTACAGCATTGCACTGTAAACCTTCCTCATCCTACCACAGCATTACACTGTAAACCTTCCTCATCCTACCACAGCAGTACACTGTAAACCTTCCTCATCCTACCACAGCATTACACTGTAAACCTTCCTCATCCTACACTGTAGCATTACACTGTAAACCTTCCTCATCCTACCACAGCAGTACACTGTAAACCTTTCCATCCTACCACAGCAGGACACTGTAAACCTTCCTCATCCTACCACAGCATCACACTGTAAACCTTCCTCATCCTACCACAGCAGGACACTGTAAACCTTCCTCATCCTACCACAACAGTACACTGTAAACCTTCCTCATCCTACCACAGCATTACACTGTAAACCTTCCTCAACCTTCACTGTAAACATCCTCATCCTACCACAGCATTACACTGTAAAAGAATGATGATAAACAATTATATATTATAAACTTGTATGATTTAGTCCAGAAAAGTGCCCTTTTATCAGACCTGGTTGGCCCTCTGATCACACCCTAATTTGCCCTCTGATCAAACCCCAATTTGTCCTCTGATCAGACCCTGATTGGCCCTCTGATCAGACACCAATTTGTCCTCTGATCAGACCCCGATTGGCCCTCTGATCAGACACCAATTTGTCCTCTGATCAGACTCCGATTGGCCCTCTGATCAAACCCCAATTTGTCCTCTGATCAGACCCTGATTGGCCCTCTGATCAGATCTCTATTTTCCATCTTCAATATACTTTAAAGTGCAATTATAGCACCTAAATTTCCACAATGTTATTACTATTTTGATAATCATGAAACTCTGAAGAGTGAAATATATAGACACAGGTATCTTATACAATTTTATTGACATAAATTGATGAAAATAGTTACACTTAGATTAAATAGACTGAAAATAGAACTTCTGCTCATTTCCTGTTAGGTCCAGTTAACATGATCCCATAGGTATCTAGAGGTCTATTTAACCAGACACACTAAACAATATCACAGAGATATCTCGGCACTAATACAATCAGGTACAGTAAACAAGATCTGGAGATATCTTGGCACTAATACAATCAGGTACAGTTAACAATATCACAGAGATATCTTGGCACTAATACAATCAGGTACATTTAACAAGATCCTAGAGATATCTTGGCACTAATACAATCAGGTACAGTTAACAAGATCCTAGAGATATCTTGGCACTAATACAATCAGGTACAGTTAACAAGATCCTAGAGATATCTTGGCACTAATACAATCAGGTACAGTTAACAAGATCCTAGAGATATCTTGGCACTAATACAATCAGGTACAGTAAACAAGATCCTAGAGATATCTTGGCACTAATACAATCAGGTACAGTAAACAAGATCCTAGAGATATCTTGGCACTAATACAATCAGGTACATTTAACAAGATCCTAGAGATATCTTGGCACTAATACAATCAGGTACAGTAAACAAGATCCTAGAGATATCTTGGCACTAATACAATCAGGTACATTTAACAAGATCCTAGAGATATCTTGGCACTAATACAATCAGGTACAGTAAACAAGATCCTAGAGATATCTTGGCACTAATACGATCAGGTACAGTAAACAAGATCCTAGAGATATCTTGGCACTAATACAATCAGGTACATTTAACAAGATCCTAGAGATATCTTGGCACTAATACGATCAGGTACAGTAAACAAGATCCTAGAGATATCTTGGCACTAATACAATCAGGTACAGTTAACAAGATCCTAGAGATATCTTGGCACTAATACAATCAGGTACAGTAAACAAGATCCTAGAGATATCTTGGCACTTATACAGTTTCGAAAAAAGTTTCAGAAAGTTCAATCATAACACAAAACGCATGTCACACTCATCCACAGAAATGTTTTAACATCAAATCAACTGTTATAATCTCAAGAGGGTAAGTCTTGTACAATCAAACATGTTCTGTTTAACAGATAAAAAAAAACATTTAAAGAAATGTCAATATTTGATGGAATATTATTGAAAAGTTGCTATCACACATCTCATCACAGTTAGTGTTCACACCGTTGCAAGTCCTGTTCACCAAATATTGTTGTTCTTACTGCAATAAGGATGATCTGGTACAGGCTGAACGCTTGGTTTCCTGAAGACACCATTAATGATAAGGCTTGTAGTTAACTGTGCCATCAAACTGGATCGGGTCAAAGTTGAAGAGGTCAGGGTGACCAACATGAGGACATCCACTGGCAAAGTCTGCCTTACTCCACTGAAATGGAGACTGTTGGTCCCATGTTGGTCCACTAACTGCCACAAATGTGTGGGCCTGGAATAGCGAAGCACTCGTCACCTGTAGTTGAAATGCAAAAACATCATCCAAGTGAGAACATGGACAATTGTTGAGGTAGTCATATGGAACTGATAAATGGATATTCACACATTCGGTAAAATTCTTCTTCAAGTCACATTTATAATTAAAGAAAATACTTAAAAGTTATAACAGATACAAAATTAGAACTACAATCAATTCTCTCAGGTGTTCATAACCCAGAACATCTATAAACACCTACAGGTGTTCATAACCCAGAACATCTATAAACACCTACAGGTGTTCATAACCCAGAACATCTATAAACACCTACAGGTGTTCACCTCCCAGAACATCTATAAACACCTACAGGTGTTCATCTCCCAGAACATCTATAAACACCTACAAGTGTTCATAACTCAGAACATCTATAAACACCTACAAGTGTTCATCTCCCAGAACATCTATAAACACCTACAGGTGTTCACCTCCCAGAACATCTATAAACACCTACAGGTGTTCACCTCCCAGAGCATCTATAAACACCTACAGGTGTTCACCTCCCAGAACATCTATAACCACCTACAGGTGTTCATCTCCCAGAACATCTATAAACACCTTCAGGTGTTCATAACCCAGAACATCTATAAACACCTACAGGTGTTCACCTCCCAGAACATCTATAAACACCTACAGGTGTTCACCTCCCAGAACATCTATAAACACCTACAGGTGTTCATAACCCAGAACATCTATAAACACCTACAGGTGTTCACCTCCAAGAACATCTATAAACACCTACAGGTGTTCACCTCCCAGAACATCTATAAACACCTTCAGGTGTTCACCTCCCAGAACATCTATAAACACCTACAGGTGTTCACCTCCCAGAGCATCTATAAACACCTACAGGTGTTCACCTCCCAGAACATCTATAAACACCTACAGGTGTTCATCTCCCAGAACATCTATAAACACCTTCAGGTGTTCATAACCCAGAACATCTATAAACACCTACAGGTGTTCACCTCCCAGAACATCTATAAACACCTTCAGGTGTTCACCTCCCAGAACATCTATAAACACCTACAGGTGTTCACCTCCCAGAACATCTATAAACACCTTCAGGTGTTCACCTCCCAGAACATCTATAAACACCTACAGGTGTTCATCTCCCAGAACATCTATAAACACCTACAGGTGTTCATAACCAAGAACATCTATAAACACCTACAGGTGTTCATCTCCCAGAACATCTATAAACACCTACAGGTGTTCACCTCCCAGAACATCTATAAACACCTACAGGTGTTCACCTCCCAGAACATCTATAAACACCTACAGGTGTTCACCTCCCAGAACATCTATAAACACCTACAGGTGTTCATCTCCCAGAACATCTATAAACACCTTCAGGTGTTCATAACCCAGAACACCTATAAACACCTACAGGTGTTCACCTCCCAGAACATCTATAAACACCTACAGGTGTTCATAACCCAGAACATCTATAAACACCTACAGGTGTTCACCTCCCAGAACATCTATAAACACCTACAGGTGTTCACCTCCCAGAACATCTATAAACACCTACAGGTGTTCACCTCCCAGAACATCTATAAACACCTACAGGTGTTCACCTCCCAGAACATCTATAAACACCTACAGGTGTTCACCTCCCAGAACATCTATAAACACCTACAGGTGTTCATCTCCCAGAACATCTATAAACACCTACAGGTGTTCATAACCCAGAACATCTATAAACACCTACAGGTGTTCACCTCCCAGAACATCTATAAACACCTACAGGTGTTCACCTCCCAGAACATCTATAAACACCTACAGGTGTTCATCTCCCAGAACATCTATAAACACCTACAGGTGTTCATCTCCCAGAACATCTATAAACACCTACAGGTGTTCAACCCAGAACATCTATAAACACCTACAGGTGTTCACCTCCCAGAACATCTATAAACACCTACAGGTGTTCACCTCCCAGAACATCTATAAACACCTACAGGTGTTCACCTCCCAGAACATCTATAAACACCTACAGGTGTTCAACATCTATAAACACCTACAGGTGTTCACCTCCCAGAACATCTATAAACACCTACAGGTGTTCACCTCCCAGAACATCTATAAACACCTACAGGTGTTCATCTCTCAGAACATCTATAAACACCTACAGGTGTTCATCTCCCAGAACATCTATAAACACCTACAGGTGTTCATCTCCCAGAACATCTATAAACACCTACAGGTGTTCATCTCCCAGAACATCTATAAACACCTACAGGTGTTCACCTCCCAGAACATCTATAAACACCTACAGGTGTTCACCTCCCAGAACATCTATAAACACCTACAGGTGTTCACCTCCCAGAACATCTATAAACACCTACAGGTGTTCACCTCCCAGAACATCTATAAACACCTACAGGTGTTCATAACCCAGAACATCTATAAACACCTACAGGTGTTCATAACCCAGAACATCTATAAACACCTACAGGTGTTCAAGAACCTCCCAGACATCTATAAACACCTACAGGTGTTCATCTCTATAAACACCTACAGGTGTTCAAGAACATCTATAAACACCTACAGGTGTTCATAACCCAGAACATCTATAAACACCTACAGGTGTTCATCTCACAGAACATCTATAAACACCTACAGGTGTTCACCTCCCAGAACATCTATAAACACCTACAGGTGTTCAAGAACATCTATAAACACCTACAGGTGTTCATCTCCCAGAACATCTATAAACACCTACAGGTGTTCATCTCCCAGAACATCTATAAACACCTACAGGTGTTCATAACCCAGAACATCTATAACCTACAAGTGTTCATCTCCCAGAACATCTATAAACTCCTTCAGGTGTTCATCTCCCAGAACATCTATAAACACCTACAGGTGTTCACCTCCCAGAACATCTATAAACCCAGAAGAACATCTATAAACACCTACAGGTGTTCATCTCCCAGAACATCTATAAACACCTACAGGTGTTCATCTCCCAGAACATCTATAAACACCTTAACTCTCTATGGTCAATAGATCTGGTACCTCCACACTGATAACTGTGGTAAATAAATTTTAAACGCAACAAACTGTAAAAATAATACCCCAATGCACAACACACAGGGATATAATTATGATCTGTGTAAAGTTCCACTGTCTACAAAATCTGGGACAGGTTGTCTGGAGAATCAGTGAAGGAAGTCAGTATCATATGTTTCCTTTACTGGAGTATTATTAAAACAAGAGGAACTAACAACAGCTTCCTGATCAGTCTAAAACACCCACCACTAAACTGTTACTGTGGAGATATTGTGAAACACCCACCACTAAACTGTTACTGTAGAGATATTGTGAAACACCCACCACTAAACTGTTACTGTGGAGATATTGTGAAACACCCACCACTAAACTGTTACTGTGGAGATATTGTGAAACACCCACCACTAAACTGTTACTGTGGAGATATTGTGAAACACCCACCACTAAACTGTTGTTACTGTGGAGATATTGTGAAACACCCACCACTAAACTGTTACTGTGGAGATATTGTGAAACACCCACCACTAAACTGTTACTGTGGAGATATTGTGAAACACCCACCACTAAACTGTTACTGTGGAGATATTGTGAAACACCCACCACTAAACTGTTACTGTGGAGATATTGTGAAACACCCACCACTAAACTGTTACTGTGGAGATATTGTGAAACACCCACCACTAAACTGTTACTGTGGAGATATTGTGAAACACCCACCACTAAACTGTTACTGTGGAGATATTGTGAAACACCCACCACTAAACTGTTACTGTGGAGATATTGTGAAACACCCACCAATAAACTGTTACTGTGGAGATATTGTGAAACACCCACCACTAAACTGTTACTGTGGACATATTGTGAAACACCCACCACTAAACTGTTACTGTGGAGATATTGTGAAACACCCACCACTAAACTGTTACTGTGGAGATATTGTGAAACACCCACCACTAAACTGTTACTGTGGAGATATTGTGAAACACCCACCACTAAACTGTTACTGTAGAGATATTGTGAAACACCCACCACTAAACTGTTACTGTAGAGATATTGTGAAACACCCACCAATAGAGATATTGTGAAACACCCACCACTAAACTGTTACTGTGGAGATATTGTGAAACACCCACCACTAAACTGTTACTGTGGAGAAATTGTGAAACACCCACCACTAAACTGTTACTGTGGAGATATTGTGAAACACCCACCACTAAACTGTTACTGTGGAGATATTGTGAAACACCCACCACTAAACTGTTACTGTGGAGATATTGTGAAACACCCACCACTAAACTGTTACTGTGGAGATATTGTGAAACACCCACCACTAAACTGTTACTGTGGAGATATTGTGAAACACCCACCACTAAACTGTTACTGTGGAGATATTGTGAAACACCCACCACTAAACTGTTACTGTGGAGATATTGTGAAACACCCACCACTAAACTGTTACTGTGGAGATATTGTGAAACACCCACCACTAAACTGTTACTGTGGAGATATTGTGAAACACCCACCACTAAACTGTTACTGTGGAGATATTGTGAAACACCCACCACTAAACTGTTACTGTGGAGATATTGTGAAACACCCACCACTAAACTGTTACTGTGGAGATATTGTGAAACACCCACCACTAAACTGTTACTGTGGAGATATTGTGAAACACCCACCACTAAACTGTTACTGTGGAGATATTGTGAAACACCCACCACTAAACTGTTACTGTGGAGATATTTTGAAACACCCACCACTAAACTGTTACTGTGGAGATATTGTGAAACACCCACCACTAAACTGTTACTGTAGAGATACTGTGAAACACCCACCACTAAACTGTTACTGTGGAGATATTGTGAAACACCCACCACTAAACTGTTACTGTGGAGATATTGTGAAACACCCACCACTAAACTGTTACTGTGGAGATATTGTGAAACACCCACCACTAAACTGTTACTGTAGAGATATTGTGAAAACATCAACAACCAATCTGATACTGTGGAGATGGTGTTACAGAATCCAAGCCCACGACTGAGTTAATCTGGATACATACAGAAAACAAACTCCATTAAGCTACAAGTAAATACCTTCATGTCTGTGCCTCCATGTGACCTATGACCTAGAGCACTGATAGGATAACTGCCACTTGCTGGATTGAGGTCACAACGAGCAGATATTGCGTTCTCAGCACTGTAGGGTGGTGTACAGTTACACCGTGACAATGGGTCATGAGTGAAGTCATTATATCTGAAATAAAAATGTTATTTTTCAATTTTATCTGTTTCTAAAACTAAGATCAATTTTTGTGATTCCAACTGTTCAACATCAACTGACAAATTTCAAAAGTACAATACCTCCTTCAACTCATTAGCCAGTCAGTAGCAAGTGACTAGATGGTTCACCACTGTGACATACCTCTAGCTGAGTCAGTAACAAGTGACTAGATGGTTCACCACTGTGACATACATCTAGCTGAGTCAGTAACAAGTGACTAGATGGTTCACCACTGTGACATACCTCTAGCTGAGTCAGTAACAAGTGACTAGATGGTTCACCACTGTGACATACCTCTAGCTGAGTCAGTAACAAGTGACTAGATGGCTCACCACTGTGACATACCTCTAGCTGAGTCAGTAACAAGTGACTAGATGGTTCACCACTGTGACACATCTCTAGCTGAGTCAGTAACAAGTGACTAGATGGTTCACCACTGTGACATGCCTCTAGCTGAGTCAGTAACAAGTGACTAGATGGTTCACCACTGTGACATACCTCTAGCTGAGTCAGTAACAAGTGACTAGATGGTTCACCACTGTGACATACATCTAGCTGAGTCAGTAACAAGTGACTAGATGGTTCACCACTGTGACATACCTCTAGCTGAGTCAGTAACAAGTGACTAGATGGTTCACCACTGTGACATACCTCTAGCTGAGTCAGTAACACGTAACTAGATGGCTCACCACTGTGACATACCTCTAGCTGAGTCAGTAACAAGTGACTAGATGGTTCACCACTGTGACACATCTCTAGCTGAGTCAGTAACAAGTGACTAGATGGTTCACCACTGTGACATACCTCTAGCTGAGTCAGTAACAAGTGACTAGATGGTTCACCACTGTGACATATCTCTAGCTGAGTCAGTAACAAGTGACTAGATGGTTCACCACTGTGACATACCTCTAGCTGAGTCAGTAACAAGTGACTAGATTGTTCACTTCAAGTTTGTGTGACCTTCTTCTACCACAATACTATATATACCAACGACAAGTTTGTGTAACCTTTTCCTATCACATTAAAAAATTTATTCTGAAGTTGAATTAACCCTTTCTGTACCCTCATGTGTTTTGTTTATTTCTCTGTTAGGGTGTCTATAACCTTAAGTGCTATGCTGCTGGTTATTATCCAAAATTGACAGTTTCAAAAAATACATGGAGATAATATAACTCATTACAACTTATACCTAGAAAAATAAATTGATTTGTTATCTTCAAAGAAGTGAATAATAATCACAACAGCAATCCCTAACTACTTATTGCACATTATAATTTTGGTGAATGTGTGAAAGCTCATCTTGTCAGCCAATCAAAACGTGCTGAAGTGCTATACTACATGTGGTGTAACATGTATGTTAAATGAGATAAATGAGTCTGCTAACAAAAATCTTATATGGAAGAAATAATTTTAAAAGGAGAGTTCTAGGGCTGCACTTAGAAAATACTGGTTAAAACGAAGGATTATCAAGTTTCCTGTTTACCTCATCAGTTTGATCATGGAATCCAGGTCCACCACTTTATGATGATCACGGCCAAAGATGAGAGCTCGCGGTGTCTTGTCCCACGTAAACCAATCGCCAAACTTCTCAACCATGGCTGGCATCCCACTTCTGTTGAAGACTTCATCAAAGTACCTAGGACAGAATTATATCACTCTCTTGTCAATATATCTAGGACAGAATCATATCACTCTCTTGTCAATATATCTAGGACAGAATTATATCACTCTCTTGTCAATATATCTAGGACAGAATTATATCATTCTCTTGTCAATGTATCTAGGACAGAATCATATCACTCTCTTGTCAATATATCTAGGACAGAATTATATCACTCTCTTGTCAAATTATATCACTCTCTTGTCAATATATCTAGGACAGAATCATATCACTCTCTTGTCAATATATCTAGGACAGAATTATATCACTCTCTTGTCAATGTATCTAGGACAGAATCATATCACTCTCTTGTCAATATATCTAGGACAGAATCATATCACTCTCTAGTCAATATATCTAGGACAGAGTCATATCACTCTCTTGTCAATATATCTAGAACAGAATTATATCACTCTCTTGTCAATGTATCTAGGACAGAATCATATCTCTCTCTTGTCAATATATCTAGGACAGAATCATATCACTCTCTTGTCAATATATCTAAGACAGAATCATATCACTCTCTAGTCAATATATCTAGGACAGAATCATATCACTCTCTTGTCAATATATCTAAGACAGAATCATATCACTCTCTTGTCAATGTATCTAGGACAGAATCATATCACTCTCTTGTCAATATATCTAGGACAGAATTATATCACTCTCTTGTCAATATATCTAGGACAGAATTATATCACTCTCTTGTCAATGTATCTAGGACGGAATTATATCACTTTCTTGTCAATATATCTAGGACAGAATTATCACTTTCTTGTCAATGTATCTAGGACAGAATTATATCACTTTCTTGTCAATATATCTAGAACAGAATTATATCACTTTCTTGTCAATGTATCTAGGACAGAATTATATCACTTTCTTGTCAATATATCTAGGACAGAATTATATCACTCTCTTGTCAATGTATCTAGGACAGAATCATATCACTCTCTTGTCAATGTATCTAGGACAGATTATAGGTACTTGAAACAGCCAGTGGGACTTTTTCACTTACGGTACGTTGTAACTTGGCCAGTAAGCCTGTTTTGTAAGAAGTGAAGTCATGTCGTTGTACTCGACAAGTCCACTGGAAAAAAGGGAATTAGAATGCTTTAATTTACTTCATAATATCAAACATGAAAGTCAACAATGATAAAAACAATAACCCTCCGTCGGTAAGTACACTATTCTGGATATATGTCCCTCCGTCGGTAAGTACACTATTCTGGATATATGTCCCTCCGTCGGTATTACACTATTCTGGATATATGTTATCCGTCGGTATATACACTATTCTGGATATATGTCCCTCCGTCGGTATTTTGAGTACACTATTCTGGATATATGTCCCTCCGTCGGTAAGTACACTATTCTGGATATATGTCCCTCCGTCGGTAAGTACACTATTCTGGATATATGTCCCTCCGTCGGTAAGTACACTATTCTGGATATATGTCCCTCCGTCGGTAAGTACACTATTCTGGATATATGTCCCTCCGTCGGTAAGTACACTATTCTGGATATATGTCCCTCCGTCGGTAAGTACACTATTCTGGATATATGTCCCTCCGTCGGTAAGTACACTATTCTGGATATATGTCCCTCCGTCGGTAAGTACACTATTCTGGATATATGTCCCTCCGTCGGTAAGTACACTATTCTGGATATATGTGTTTCTGGAGATATTTACCTAGTGTAGTTTGTTCCAAGTGGTGTCCTTACACTAATCAGACAAAAACTAGTATCAAACAGCATAGTACATTTATTGATCAAATACTTTAGGCGAAAACCAACTGATATTAAGCAAGAGGACCACTGACCAACAAGAGGACCACTGACCAACAAGAGGCCCACGGACCTTGACGGTCATCTGACTTAACTATAAAGACACAAGTGTAACAGCAGTAGTGATAGTAGGAACCATTATTTTAGGGAGTGATTGTCAAATTTATTCTTAATAACCTCGCATTGGATTTTAACATAAGCATCATGTAGGTAGACAAATATGTTTCCAGTTAAAGATTTAAGTGTCAAATTTCTGTCATTTATATGTTGTTTGTCAGTATTCTATGGGTGAAGATGACATTTCTGGTTGTTAAGAATATTTATAAAACATAAGACCCAAGTGTGATTATGTACAGCTTATATACAAATATCTGTAAAGACTTAATATTCGTATTTTGAGAGCAATCCAGCATATTATACCGGTGACTTTATGGTCCAAAAATTCAAAAATTTACTTCTATCTTAAAGATTTCCTCACTGAAACATTGTTATTAAGTTTGAATAAACAGCTAAAAAATAGAATGCTATGACAAGCTTTGGATTTTTTGAGACAGTTACAGTATCCATTGGTTTTGCTGGGTTATCTGCCCATGAACAATCTAGGTCATACTGGTGACTGGAGACTACTTCACTGACCGCAATGTGGGTGTCGTCCCACTTACCTCCACACATCTAATGGTACAGAGTAACTTGTGGGTGTCGTCCCACTTACCTACACATATTATCTAATGGTACAGAGTAACTTGTGGGTGTCGTCCCACTTACCTCCACACATCTAATGGTACAGAGTAACTTGTGGGTGTTGTCCAACTTACCTACACATATTATCTAATGGTACAGAGTAACTTTTGGGTGTCGTCCCACTTACCTACACATATTATCTAATGGTACAAAGTAACTTGTGGGTGTCGTCCCACTTACCTACACTTATTATCTAATGGTACAGTGTAACTTTTGGGTGTCGTCACACTTACCTACACTTATTATCTAATGGTACAGAGTAACTTGTGGGTGTCGTCCCACTTACCTACACATATTATCTAATGGTACAGAGTAACTTGTGGGTGTCGTCCCACTTACCTACACATATTATCTAATGGTACAGAGTAACTTGTGGGTGTCGTCCCACTTACCTACACACATCTAATGGTACAGAGTAACTTTTGGGTGTTGTCCTACTTACCTACACATATTATCTAATGGTACAGAGTAACTTGTGGGTGTCATCCCACTTACCTACAAACATCTAATGGTACAGAGTAACTTTTGGGTGTTGTCCTACTTACCTACACATATTATCTAATGGTACAGAGTAACTTGTGGGTGTCGTCCCACTTACCTACACATATTATCTAATGGTACAGAGTAACTTGTGGGTGTCTTCCCACTTACCTACACATATTATCTAATGGTACAGAGTAACTTGTGGGTGTCGTCCCACTTACCTACACATATTATCTAATGGTACAGAGTAACTTGTGGGTGTCATCCCACTTACCTACACATATTATCTAATGGTACAGAGTAACTTGTGGGTGTCGTCCCACTTACCTACACATATTATCTAATGGTACAGAGTAACTTGTGGGTGTCGTCCCACTTACCTACACATATTATCTAATGGTACAGAGTAACTTGGCACAACATCATTAAAACTAGGTAGCTGGTTTAGCATAAGATCTAAACAAGAGATCCCAGAGGGATCTTGGTGCCCACCATTGTTTGATCTTTATTTGTCCTTTGAAAATCGGACCTTTTCCCTTCTCTTCTCTGTTCTTGCTCTTGATAAGACATTTAAATATTCTATACCTGCCAAATCCAAAATGGCCGCCTGGAAGCCATTTTGTTTTTCTGATCAGTCCCAAAATTACAGGGGTTCCGGAGATCCACCCAGTACTTTTCAAGAAATAGCAATAATAAACTTGCAAAGTAAAAATCCAAGATGGCCATCTGTTGGCAGTTTTGTTTACTTCATTAGTCCCAAAATCAAATGGGCACAACTAGAGACCAAGGGGAACCTACGTATGTAATTGAAGAAAGAGCCATCCAGTGCTTCTCATGAAATAGTGATAACAAAAATTGTTTACGCACAGACGGACTGAATGACGGACCACGGACCACAGACCCAGAGCGATTTGATCATCAGATAGGATAAAATATACTTTTCCTATATAAACAATCGTAAATTCACTCCCTCCCAAGGGGACACCTAGACATAGGACAGCTCTGAGTTTCACCATTTTGGCCCTTCAAGGACTTTACATTTCTGAAAGAATTTTGGTACTGACATTTGTAGTTGTTAAGAAGAAGATTTTTAATATCTTAAATATCACATGTGGTATACCATGCATATTTAAACAACATTTGTAATGATTAACTGATGCCTTTGAAGTTGAACAAAATTGTGGTAGAAAATTAGCTTACTAGTTTTAAAGGAGATGTCGAAATATGTGAGAATGTTTACTGATGTTGCCAGGTGGACAATGGACGGACACAACATGATGGCAATAGGTCATCCAGAATTTCGAGTAAGATAACTTGATAATACCACTTATCCAAAATTTAAGACTTAGCTACGGTGATTGAACACCCCTAACATTTATGTCTCAATGGTGACATTGAATATTGAATCTGTTCCAGAACATATCACACCCATCATGTCTGCCTACAGAATCTGTTCCAGAACAAATCACACCCATCATGTCTGCCTACGGAATCATGTCTGCCTACAGAATCTGTTCCAGAACATATCACACCCATCATGTCTGCCTACGGAATCATGTCTGCTTACAGAATCTGTTCCAGAACATATCACACCCATCATGTCTGCCTACGGAATCTGTTCCAGAATATATCACACCCATCATGTCTGCCTATGGAATCTGTTCCAGAATATATCACACCCATCATGTCTGCCTACGGAATCTGTTCCAGAATATATCACACCCATCATGTCTGCCTACGGAATCTGTTCCAGAACATATCACACCCATCATGTCTGCCCCTCCAGGTACAAACTTTTAACAATGTTATACTTACGGAATCTGTTCCAGAACATATCATACCCATCATGTCTGCCTACGGAATCATGTCTGCCTACAGAATCTGTTCCAGAACATATCACACCCATCATGTCTGCCCCTTCAGGTACAAACTTTTAACAATGTTATACTTACGGAATCTGTTCCAGAACATAAAGGACACCTGTCATGTCTGCCCCTCCTGGTACAAACTGTTTGTAGTCCACGATCATCCACTCATTATTGTACCTACAATAAGTGTTATATTTTCCTTAAATTATTCTGTCATCACATAACATCAACAGATAATGGGGCCATTCACGGGATATTCTGTCATCACATAACATCAACAGATAATGGGGCCATTCACGGGATATTCTGTCATCACATAACATCAACAGATAATGGGGCCATTCACGGGATATTCTGTCATCACATAACATCAACAGATAATGGGGCCATTCACGGGATATTCTGTCATCACATAACATCAACAGATAATGGGGCCATTCACAGGATATTCTGTCATCACATAACATCAACAGATAATGGGGCCATTCACGGGATATTCTGTCATCACATAACATCAACAGATAATGGGGCCATTCACGGGATATTCTGTCATCACATGATATTAACAGCTAATGGGGCCACTCATGGGATATTCTGTCATCACATGATATTAACAGATAATGGGGCCACTCATGGGATATTCTGTCATCACATGATATTAACAGCTAATGGGGCCACTCATGGGATATTCTGTCATCACATGATATTAACAGCTAATGGGGCCACTCACAGGATATTCTGTCATCACATGATATTAACAGTTAATGGGGCCACTCATGGGATATTCTGTCATCACATGATATTAACAGATAATGGGGCCACTCACGGGATATTCTGTCATCACATGATATTAACAGCTAATGGGGCCACTCATGGGATATACTGTCATCAAATGAAATTAACAGATAATGGGGCCACTCACGGGATATTCTGTCATCACATGATATTCACAGATAATGGGGCCACTCACGGGATATACTGTCATCAAATGATATCAACAGATAATGGGGCCACTCATGGGATATTCTGTCATCACATGATATTAACAGATAATGGGGCTAATCACAGGATATTCTGTCATCACATGATATTAACCTATAATGGGGCCACTCATGGGATATTCTGTCATCACATGTTATTAACAGCTAATGGGGCCACTCACGGGATATACTGTCATCACATGATATTAACAGGTAATGGGGCCACTCACAGGATATTCTGTCATCACATGATATTAACAGCTAATGGGGCCACTCATGGGATATTCTGTCATCACATGATATTAACAGATAATGGGGCCACTCACGGGATATTCTGTCATCACATGATATTAACAGATAATGGGGCCACTCACAGGATATTCTGTCATCACATGATATTAACCGATAATGGGGCCACTCATGGGATATTCTGTCATCACATGTTATTAACAGCTAATGGGGCCACTCACGGGATATACTGTCATCACATGATATTAACAGGTAATGGGGCCACTCACAGGATATTCTGTCATCACATGATATTAACAGCTAATGGGGCCACTCATGGGATATTCTGTCATCACATGATATTAACAGATAATGGGGCCACTCACGGGATATTCTGTCATCACATAATATTAACAGCTAATGGGGCCACTCACGGGATATACTGTCATCAAATGAAATTAACAGATAATGGGGCCACTCACGGGATATTCTGTCATCACATGATATTAACAGATAATGGGGCCACTCATGGGATATACTGTCATCAAATGATATCAACAGATAATGGGGCCACTCATGGGATATTCTGTCATCACATGATATTAACAGATAATGGGGCCACTCACAGGATATTCTGTCATCACATGATATTTACCGATAATGGGGCCACTCATGGGATATTCTGTCATCACATGTTATTAACAGCTAATGGGGCCACTCACGGGATATACTGTCATCACATGATATTAACAGGTAATGGGGCCACTCACAGGATATTCTGTCATAACATGATATTAACAGCTAATGGGGCCACTCATGGGATATTCTGTCATCACATGATATTAACAGCTAATGGGGCCACTCACGGGATATACTGTCATCAAATGAAATTAACAGATAATGGGGCCACTCACGGGATATTCTGTCATCACATGATATTAACAGATAATGGGGCCACTCATGGGATATACTGTCATCACATGATATTAACCGATAATGGGGCCACTCATGGGATATACTGTCATCACATGATATTAACAGATAATGGGGCTACTCATGGGATATTCTGTCATCACATGATATTAACAGGTAATGGGGCCACTCACCGGATATTCTGTCATCAAATGATATTAACAGATAATGGGGCCACTCATGGGATATTCTGTCATCACATGATATTAACAGGTAATGGGGCCACTCATGGGATATTCTGTCATCACATGATATTAACAGCTAATGGGGCCACTCATGGGATATTCTGTCATCACATGATATTAACAGATAATGGGGCAACTCACGGGATATACTGTGATTATGAAATTTTGTTGTAACCTGAATATTTTCATGTATGACACCTTTAAACTGTTTGCTGACCTTTTCAGTCTCCTTTATATCCCTTGATCCAGACTCCTTCCCCGAATTGGCTCAATCCGACATTTGTGAGGTGTATACATAAATATACTATATGTAATCATTTCACCCATATTTCATCAAAAATAGTGAATTCAATGGTAATAAAAATATTATAGAATTAGATACTTACAGCTTCTAGATCATTTTTAGAACTATTTGATATGAAAGCAGATCAGATATACATTATGCGACTTTTTTGACAATTTTTGACAACATTCATTCCAGTCACTGTTAAGTTTGTAAGAACTCACATCAAATCTACTGATTTGAATAGCATACTATACCTGGTACATAGCTGATATTAAAGTGACTTTCTACTAAATATGCAGCTTATCAACAAGGATGCTTTAAATAAAAATGAGGCCTAGCGGCCTTGACAGTCACCTGAGAGAAACTATATTGATTTTAAAGGTTAATGGGTAAGTAGCTTTCAAATATTATGAGAATGAATTTTTGACATTGAATATAGTAAGCCAGTGTCAATACATGTATACCATCAAAACTGTCATCCTATACTGATAAATCTTATTTCCAGAGGGAAAAACAAAGGTTATGATCAAAACTGCAATTTACATATAAAAATGAGAGTAATTAAGAAGAAGTCCATTTGACAAGTTTTGGCCCACCACCAATCAGCCCGGTCAGTCAGGATCAATATGGGCATACCATCAAGCCACCATCCTTCACCCAAAATTGTAACCAAGTCTGAAATATTTCTAATGAAAAATAAACAAATAATGCTAATAAATCTGTTATTCTTATAAAGACTACAGTAATCTTTACTCCCTCCCCTTTTATCCTAAAATTTGGACAAAATTCTGTCATTCCTACAGAAGAAGCAGCATAATAAAATTTAGCACTATGTTTGCTTTTGGGCTCCAACTTTTAGGTCTCAAGGTCTCAGACCCAATACCAGACTGTGGACGCTGGATGACAGACTACAGACTCTGCATGCCAGGCAATAGATACAGGGAACCAGACTACAGATACTGGATGCCACACTATGAATACTGGATGCCACACTACAGATACTGGATGCCACACTACAGATACTGGATGCCACACTATGGATACTGGATGCCACACTACAGATGAATGCCACACTACAGATACTGGATTCCACACTACAGATACTGGATGCCACACTACAGATACTGGATGCCAGACACCATGGTTTTAACACATTGGACCTTTGAACCAGGTGAACTCTCAATGACCTTGTCCTATACATACGTGCCACTGTTGAGATGACTGAAGATTTCTGCCCAATCCTTCCCTGTACTGGCCAAACGATTGGCTACCATCGACCTTATCCCCTCAGGAACGCTGTATGTTGGCTGGATGAAGGACCAGAGCTTGTCATTGGAGTTACCGATCGTAGTTTCCATGCTAACCTAAAAACATCATTGTTACATCATTACCTGTCTTGTCTATTGTTACATCATTACTTGTTACATCATTACTTGTCTTGTCTGTTGTTACATCATCACTTGTCTTGTCTGTTGTTACATCATTACTTGTCTTGTCTGTTGTTACATCATTACTTGTCTTGTCTGTTGTTACATCATTACTTGTCTTTTCTGTTGTTACATCATTACTTGTCTTGTCTGTTGTTACATCATTACTTGTCTTGTCTGTTGTTACATCATTACTTGTCTTGTCTGTTGTTACATCATTACTTGTCTTGTCTGTTGTTACATCATTACTTGTCTTGTCTGTTGTTACATCATTACTTGTCTTGTCTGTTGTTACATCATTACTTGTCTTGTCTGTTGTTACATCATTACTTGTCTTGTCTGTTGTTACATCATCACTTGTCTTGTCATTACTTGTTGTTACATCATTACTTGTCTTTTCTGTTGTTACATCATTACTTGTCTTGTCTGTTGTTACATCATTACTTGTCTTGTCTGTTGTTACATCATTACTTGTCTTGTCTGTTGTTACATCATTACTTGTCTTGTCTGTTGTTACATCATCACTTGTCTTGTCTGTTGTTACATCATTACTTGTCTTATCTGTTGTTAAATCATCATGTCTGTTGTTACATTATCAATCATCTTGTCTGTTGTTACATCATTACTTGTCTTGTCTGTTGTTACATCATTACTTGTCTTGTCTGTTGTTACATCATTACCTGTCTTGTCTGTTGTTACATCATTACTTGTCTTGTCTGTTGTTACATCATTACTTGTCTTGTCTGTTGTCACATCATTACCTGTCTTGTCTGTTGTTACATCATTACTTGTCTTGTCTGTTGTTACATCATTACTTGTCTTGTCTGTTGTTACATCATTACTTGTCTTGTCTATTGTTAAATCATCACTTGTCTTGTCTGTTGTTACATTATCAATCATCTTGTCTGTTGTTACATCATTACTTGTCTTGTCTGTTGTTACATCATTACTTGTCTTTTCTGTTGTTACATCATTACTTGTCTTGTCTGTTGTTACATCATCACTTGTCTTGTCTGTTGTTACATCATTACTTGTCTTATCTGTTGTTACATCATCACTTGTCTTGTCTGTTGTTACATTATCAATCATCTTGTCTGTTGTTACATCATTACTTGTCTTGTCTGTTGTTACATCATTACTTGTCTTGTCTGTTGTTACATCATTACCTGTCTTGTCTGTTGTTACATCATTACTTGTCTTGTCTGTTGTTACATCATTACCTGTCTTGTCTGTTGTCACATCATTACCTGTCTTGTCTGTTGTTACATCATTACTTGTCTTGTCTGTTGTTACATCATTACTTGTCTTGTCTGTTGTTACATCATTACTATACTCACCAGACCAGGACTGTGACTATACTCATCAGACCAGAACTGTGACTGTACTCATCAGACCAGAACTGTGACTGTACTCATCAGACCAGAACTGTGAATATACTCACCAGACCAGGACTGTGACTATACTCACCAGACCACAACTGTGACTATACTCACCAGACCAGGACTGTGACTGTACTCATCAGACCAGAACTGTGACTGTACTCATCAGACCAGAACTGTGACTGTACTCACCAGACCAGAACTGTGACTGTACTCACCAAACCAGAACTGTGAATATACTCACCAGACCAGAACTGTGACTGTACTCACCAGACCAGAACTGTGACTGTACTCACCAGACCAGAACTGTGACTGTACTCACCAGACCAGAACTGTGACTGTACTCACCAGACCAGAACTGTGAATATACTCATCAGACCAGAACTGTGACTGTACTCATCAGACCAGAACTGTGACTGTACTTACCAGACCAGAACTGTGACTGTACTCACCAGACCAGAACTAAGGAGGTAGTAGTCATCCCCAGACATAACTGAACCAGGGTATGAGGAAAAACTCATTGTTCGCCCAAGCAAAATTTTCCCTGCCAAAAAGAATCAAAAGATGAAGTCACGACCTTAAATTCTAGAAAAGGGTACATTCTCATACCTGGTAAGTGGCATACTTTTTTCTAAGGAAACATGGCAAATGGATTTCATAACAGTCAGCTAAAGCTAGATACAGCAGACCTGTCATGATAATCTGTAATAATTTGCAATATTACTCCAGATATTTTTGTCACAGAGTTTTGTGTAGTAAGTAGTAGGCATTATTCAAAGTGCTAGTGATGCCTGCAGTTGCTACTCCCCTATATCATACCATATTGTGACATGGAGGTAGCCTTCATGTACAGTACTAACTAATAGTACAGTCACAAATCACTAAATGCCACTTGCCGGCATGGTAACTGTCAGTTTTTACTCAAATTTAGCTGGAGGCAGCTTGGCTGCAGGCACAATTGGCAGGCAACAGGTGGCATTTTAGATGCCGCTTAAGTTTTATAAAAATAAAAATAAAATTCTGTCTGCCAACGTTATACATTAGAGAATATGATTGCTACAGATTTGGCACATACATAAGATAGGATGAAAACCTTTACCGCTGGTTAACTATACAACTGGGCCATGGAGGATACTGCAATGCAGTCTGGGAGATATCAATATTGATAACAACTTTCAGAGAAAGAAAATAAGGTTATTACATTGAAAGTCAAGAAAAGAAAGATAACTATATTCAAAGTCAAGGAAAGGTGAGATAATTACCTTGAAAGTCATCAGAAGGGAGATAATTACCTTGAAAGTCATCAGAAGGGAGATAATTACCTTGAAAGTCATCAGAAGGGATATAATTACCTTGAAAGTCATTGGATGGGAGATAATTACCTTGAGAGGGTTGGAGAGAGAGACAATATTGTGAGTGAAAGGAAAGGGAGATTATTACCTTGTGAAGGTATGAGAGGGAGATAATTATGTGACAGAAAAAGAAAGGCAGATTATTACCATGAGAGGGTTGCAAAGTGAGAAAAATACCCTATAAGTCATAAAGAAAAGGGAGATAATTACCTTGTGAGGGTTGGAGAGGGAAATGTTTACACTGAAAGTCATGAAGAAAAGGGAGATTATTACCTTGTGAGGGTTGGAGAGGGAAATGTTTACACTGAAAGTCATGAAGAAAAGGGAGATTATTACCTTGAGAGGGTTGGAGAGGGAAATGTTTACACTTATAGTCATGAAGAAAAGGGAGATTATTACCTTGAGAGGGTTGGAGAGGGAAATGTTTACACTTATAGTCATGAAGAAAAGGGAGATTATTACCTTGAGAGGGTTGGGGAGGGAAATGTTTACACTTATAGTCATGAAGAAAAGGGAGATTATTACCTTGAGAGGGTTGGAGAGGGAAATGTTTACACTTATAGTCATGAAGAAAAGGGAGATAATTACCTTGAGAGGGTTGGGGAGGGAAATGTTTACACTTATAGTCATGAAGAAAAGGGAGATTATTACCTTGAGAGGGTTGGAGAGGGAAATGTTTACACTGAAAGTCATGAAGAAAAGGGAGATTATTACCTTGAGAGGGTTGGAGAGGGAAATGTTTACACTGAAAGTCATGAAGAAAAGGGAGATTATTACCTTGAGAGGGTTGGAGAGGGAAATGTTTACACTTATAGTCATGAAGAAAAGGGAGATTATTACCTTGTGAGAGGGTTGGAGAGGGAAATGTTTACACTGAAAGTCATGAAGAAAAGGGAGATTATTACCTTGAGAGGGTTGGAGAGGGAAATGTTTACACTTATAGTCATGAAGAAAAGGGAGATAATTACCTTGAGAGGGTTGGAGAGGGATATAATCACCGTGGGAAGGTAAGAAAGGGAGATAATTACCTTGAGAGTCATGGAAAGGAATGTCATATTTCTTGAGGACTCTCAACATGCTCATATAGCTGCTCCAGGTATCGTGGCTCACAAAAAGGTCCTTGGCTCCAGGGAGTAGTTTGACAAGGGCAGAGCATGAACCTGATCCCAAAACACGAGATTTTGTAGGCTTGTGGAGTGCTTCCTCAAGGTCTTCTAGGTCACCACCAACCTGCATAAAACTGGAAAAACATGAGATGATGATACCTCCTCAACACTAATGTTTATACATCCTCAACACTAATAATGTTTATAGCACCTCAACACTCAGACTGATTATACCTCCTTAACACTCACACTGATTATACCTCAACACTCACACTGATTATACCTCCTTAACACTCACACTGATTATACCTCCTTAACACTCACACTGATTATACCTCAACACACAGACTGATTATACCTCAACACTCACACTGATTAAACCTCAACACTCACACTGATTATACCTCAACACACAGACTGATTAACACACTGATTATACCTCAACACTCACACTGATTATACCTCAACACACAGACTGATTATACCTCAACACTCACACTGATTAAACCTCAACACTCACACTGATTATACCTCAACACACAGACTGATTATACCTCAACACTCACACTGATTATACCTCAACACACAGACTGATTATACCTCCTCAACACTCACACTGATTATACCTCAACACACAGACTGATTATACCTCCTCAACACAGACGGATTATACCTCCTTATCACTCACACTGATTATACCTCCTTAACACACAGACTGATTATACCTCAACACTCACACTGATTATACCTCCTCAACACAGACGGATTATACCTCCTTATCACTCACACTGATTATACCTCCTGCCTGAAATTAGTGAACATTTTTTGTAAGAAATCCAAGTGTCCTCTCATTAGGAAAAGTATATAGTTACATTATCACAGATCAAATCACTTCTATTAAGGCACTATTGACAAATATTGGATATCATATGGATAATTTCTTTCAATGGTCAAAATTTTCGTGATTTTCTTTTAAAACCATTGAATATGTTATTGAATCAAAATTCCATGATCTTGATATAAAAGCTACAACCCTCATGTCTCAAAATTTCATAGAATGAATTTTCGTGATTACCTTACTGTACTGCGAAATAGTAAAAAAAAAATGAGGCAAAGCCATAATTGGCTGGGTTGCGGGATGATTGTAATGTTATATATTGTGCTCAAAACAACGTTTCAGCCAATGAGAGGTTATCACACTCAAAACAACATCTTAACCAATGAGAGGCAAAGGCTGCCATCTTGGATTTTCCACGCCAGACTGTTGAAAATGACTAAGTTCCAAAGCTGGGAAAATCAAGAAAAAATGTCCGCAATAAATCCTAAATTAATAGGTACACATCTTCAACATATATATAAACTTCCTACAAAGTTTCAAGCTTCTAGATCACAAACTCTAGGAGGAGTGATTCTACAAAACTGGTACCTCTTTCCCTTTATGTGCAACACGGCCAAATATCATTCAACTGAAAATAACCAGCCATCCCAGAGGGATCCTCGTGCCCACCATTTGATGATTTATTGATTCTACACAAGACTGATCTTTTCTCTACTTTTTCCTTTCTTTCCCTTTTCTTTAACCTTAATCATTTGATAATAAGAACATCCTACATATGACATTAAAGATAAACAGGAAGGTCTAAAGGAATAGTGATAAACAAACTTAACTGACAAAATCCTAAATTTTATTTTCTTGAGCAGCATAACTTAAGACTAAGGGGAATCTACACATCAAGTCTGAGAAATTTCAATACATCTCAAGAGATAGCAAATATAAATCTCAACTATCAAAATACAAAATGGAGGACTGTCCACCCTTCTGTTTTCACAACCAGCTTCAAAATTAAATGGGCACAACAGGGAGTTATGAGACAATGGAAAAATGTGAAGTTTGAGAAATTTCCATCAAGTGTTTCCCAAGAAATAGAGATAACAAACTATCATTGTCAAAATACAGGATCACTGTCTGACAGCTATTTTTTTCTGATCAGTCCCAATATCAGAAAGTCACAACTAAGACCAAGGAGAATCGAAATATCAGATTTGAGAAAGATTCATGTATACCTTCTCAAGAAATAGCCATAACACTCTTTCATTACTAGGAATCAAAAAATAAAGAAATTGGAGAAAGAATGATCCTTTATAAGAATTAACAATAATAAGAATTGTTTAACGACATACAAGAGACGAACCATTGACCACAGGAAAATAAATTTACTCTATTAATATACAGAAAGAGATTGGTCGCAATCTTACTAAAATAGACAAGAATTATTATGTGAAAGCATACTTACTATATTCCCATGGGGTCAAGGTTAGTTGTAGGCTGACCGATCACATGTTCCTGTGGGTAAAAATAACCACTGGATAGCCCACTCACTTGTAACAAATAGAGCTTCACCTGTAGAAATAAGACAGAGATGTCACATGTTCCTGTGGGTAAAAACAAACACTGGAGTTTTTTGTAGGTAACATTACCTGTGTATGTCCTGTAGTAACCTGGGAGTTTTTGTAGGTAACATTACCTGTTTATGTCCTGTATTAACCTGGGAGTTTTTGTAGATAACATTACCTGTATATGTCCTGTATTAACCTGGGAGTTTTTGTAGGTAACATTAACTGTTTATGTCCTGTATTAACCTGGGAGTTTTTGTAGGTAACATTAACTGTTTATGTCCTGTATTAACCTGGGAGTTTTTGTAGATAACATTACCTGTTTATGTCCTGTATTAACCTGGGAGTTTTTGTAGATAACACTACCTGTGTATGTCCTGTAGTAACCTGGGAGTTTTTGTAGATAACATTACCTGTTTATGTCCTGTAGTAACCTGGGAGTTTTTGTAGGTAACATTAACTGTTTATGTCCTGTATTAACCTGGGAGTTTTTGTAGGTAACATTAACTGTTTATGTCCTGTATTAACCTGGGAGTTTTTGTAGATAACATTACCTGTTTATGTCCTGTATTAACCTGGGAGTTTTTGTAGATAACACTACCTGTGTATGTCCTGTAGTAACCTGGGAGTTTTTGTAGATAACATTACCTGTTTATGTCCTGTAGTAACCTGGGAGTTTTTGTACATAACATTACCTGTGTATGTCCTGTATTAATCTGGGAGTTTTTGTAGGTAACATTAACTGTTTATGTCCTGTATTAACCTGGGAGTGTTTGTAGGTAACATTACCTGTTTGTGTCCTGTATTAACCTGGGAGTGTTTGTAGGTAACATTACCTGTGTATGTCCTGTATTAACCTGGGAGTGTTTGTAGGTAACATTACCTGTTTATGTCCTGTATTAACCTGGGAGTGTTTGTAGGTAACATTACCTGTTTGTGTCCTGTATTAACCTGGGAGTGTTTGTAGGTAACATAACATGTGTATGTCCTGTATTAACCTGGGAGTGTTTGTAGGTAACATTACCTGTTTGTGTCCTGTATTAACCTGGGAGTGTTTGTAGGTAACATTACCTGTTTGTGTCCTGTATTAACCTGGGAGTGTTTGTAGGTAACATTACCTGTGTATGTCCTGTATTAACCTGGGAGTGTTTGTAGGTAACATTACCTGTTTGTGTCCCGTATTAACCTGGGAGTTTTTGTAGGTAACATTACCTGTGTATGTCCTGTATTAACCTGGGAGTGTTTGTAGGTAACATTACCTGTTTGTGTCCTGTATTAACCTGGGAGTTTTTGTAGGTAACATTACCTGTTTATGTCCGATAGTAACCTGGGAGTGTTTGTAGATAATATTACCTGTTTATGTCCTGTAGTAACCTGGGAGTTTTTGTAGGTAACATTACCTGTTTATGTCCTGTATTAACCTGGGAGTGTTTGTAGGTTACATTACCTGTTGATGTCCTGTATTAACCTGGGAGTGTTTGTAGGTAACATTACCTGTTTGTGTCCTGTATTAACCTGGGAGTTTTTGTAGGTAACATTACCTGTTTATGTCCTGTATTAACCTGGGAGTGTTTGTAGGTAACATTACCTGTGTATGTCCTGTATTAACCTGGGAGTGTTTGTAGGTAACATTACCTGTTTGTGTCCTGTATTAACCTGGGAGTTTTTGTAGGTAACATTACCTGTTTATGTCCGATAGTAACCTGGGAGTGTTTGTAGATAATATTACCTGTTTATGTCCTGTAGTAACCTGGGAGTTTTTGTAGGTAACATTACCTGTTTATGTCCTGTATTAACCTGGGAGTGTTTGTAGGTTACATTACCTGTTGATGTCCTGTATTAACCTGGGAGTGTTTGTAGGTAACATTACCTGTTTGTGTCCTGTATTAACCTGGGAGTTTTTGTAGGTAACATTACCTGTTTATGTCCTGTATTAGCCTGGGAGTGTTTGTAGGTAACATTACCTGTTTGTGTCCTGTATTAACCTGGGAGTTTTTGTAGGTAACATTACCTGTTTCCAGTATGGATCAGATGTGGATTTCGTTATCATCTCGTTCATCCAGTCAAGATTTTGTTGAAGGTAGGATTGCAGACGTGTACAGTAAGCTGTGTAGGGTTTCTCACAGTAACCTTCTATTGTGTTGAACCACTGCATCTGAATAAAGTTAGCAGTAAGATAGCCTTCCACCAAACCAGCTGCGTATGCCTGAACCTCATCACTGTATCCTTCTGATGTTGTCACTTCCAGGAAAGACCATCTGCCATGTATAAGATTATATTAGCTTCCTAGCATGCTGCAAACAAAGTGGAAGAAAAATTATATCAAGCATGCAGGTAAAAGGTGATAGTTATATAATAACTTATAAAAACTTACCATATGGCACTGTCCATCTTGAAGATTTTTTTTATGAAAGCCAATGCATGCAAATTCTATATTGATAAATATTCACTTTAAACTACTTTTCTCATTTTTGCATTAAATTATAATCTAAGTAACCTACAGATTGTATATCATTTAATGAGATCTCTGTTTGAACACATTTAGTATGAAAAATGCCAACATAGAAATACATTTATGGCTTACTTGTAAAAACAAACAAATAACAACAAAAGGTCCAACAGGCTCACCTCTTCTGCAACTTACAAAGCTCTTTAAGTCAGTTTCTGCAAACTTGGAAACACATTCCTCAAACAAGCAACTACCTTAAAACCATGATCCTGGGGCTAATGGTAAGAAAAAATTCACAACACTGGACCCATCACATTGACAGTAGGTTGTGGTAATTTAAGTGAACAAACTTAGTAGCCCTTCATCCAAGCATGTTACAGGTCCAATATAAACACCCTAAATATTTGGTTAATAACAAGTAATTTACAGAATTTAAAACATTCGTCCACTTTGACCTTAAAAAAGGGGCAATATCATCCAAAATAAACTAAATAAACTTGGAAACTCTTTATACTAGTATTTTAAAGGTCCAATTATAGTACCCTAGGCCTTTTTGTTATTCAGAAGAAGTTGTTTGCAGATTCTCAACTGATTTAACCAACTCCTATGATGTTTAAAGTCGGTCAAGGTCATTCTTTTGAACAAATGTGGTAGGTGGCTTTTTATACCAGGACCCTACAAGCCCAATATCAGATCTTTGGAGATTTTGATTTTAGATATTTCAACACATTTTACCTCTGTGATCTTAAAAGTCTTTCAAGGTCATAACTTGATGTTGACATTGAATGAAGGTCAAGGTCATTGACTTGAACAAATTTGGTAGCCCATCATGCTACAGACCCTATATCAGTTCCCTGGATCATTTTGTTACTGAGTTGAGAAGAAGTTGTTTAAATGGAAAAGTTGATGCTTGATGGACAGAATGACATACAATGAATGCCCTACACAGCATAACTTCAAGTGCATGTGGTATAAAAATTAAAGAGACTATGTTAACTGTTGCTTACCTGTTCATTGCAAGGATAAATGGGGACAAAATTGGTCATAATGCATGGATGGTATTTTGTGGAAAAAGTCTGATTTCAGTAACAAGATAGGTGGAAAATCTCAGTCTTGCAACTTTTAGTAAATTTGTCTTTCTTTCATCCTGGTTAAATATTATAATTAACAGTAATTGAAATAACAACTTACAATGTACATATAGTATAAGACTTCAAGTACTTTTGGATACTTTGTGTAGTTTGAGTTGAGAAAAATAAGCAGAATTAATTATGAATATTTAGATATATACTAATATTAATTATAAAATTTCAAAGGATAACATTGAAGTTTAAACAAATTAATTGTACAAGAGAAGAAAAGGATAGATTTGACTTTCATTTATATGTGAAATATTGATTAAAGCTTTATGAAAATTGGAATAAAAGAGATTGTGAGAAATTATAAACAAAAATTTGTAAATGAAAACAGCTTATATTCATAATTAGAGATTGAAATACTTGTCATTTAGATCTTTTCAAGAAACTTTTTTTCGTCTTTCAATGAATTAAAAGAAATGAATAATTCAAAATGACCTTTTGTGCATCAAGTTTTCATTCTTTTCATCTCAAATTCAGATCAGTTATTAATTATCATAATCACTTGCCATTTTTTTTAACATTCTTAATATGATGAATGCTGAAACCCAGATTTTTCATTCCACTTTAATTCTGATTCGTTTATACTTAACCAACAGATTAAACTGAAAGCTAAGATGTTTACAGATAAGGCTTCTTCTTGTTTTTGTGTTTGAAGTGATGAACTCAATTATAATCAGAGGCATATCAATAATTGACTGTGTGAATTCATTTTCTAATCACCAGGCTTTGGCATCCCATGTGAGGGGTTAGGCTAATTACAGGTGGTTTACATCCCAGTGTCTGGGATAGGAAGAGTATAAATGGCAATACCTATCCATGGAACAATGAATTATCTATGTATATTTTTGCAGTTTTGCTTTAATTCTTCTCACTTAACATGATCTTATTTTGAAGATTTCTACACCAAAATGTCATTTCCTTTCTAATGATGACCTGATGCTGTACATTTACAGTGGCCTAGAAGTGCACAGTAGGCTAACTAAAGAATCACTATATGATTGAGTGATGTAAGCGGAAAATGAAACTTAAGTCGTATTTCCGCAAACCTGGTGAGACATTTGTACTGGTAGTATCTGTGGACATCTTTTTGGTGGTGGAATACTGATGCTACGCAGTTTACTGAATAAACATCATAATATGAACACAATACAATACATGTATGCATTCATTAAAATGAAATTCGTCGAAGTAGCATAGTTTTGGTCAATGATTCTTCATCTTGCGAGGGGTCCGAAACTGATGCGTTAATGATGTATCGATCTACAATTGTGACTTACCCTGTAGTGTTCACTTCATTACGAAAAACACCTTTAGCAACAAAATTGCCCGGCTCGGTTTTGCCGGTAATTGAGTATTTGTGACCATTACTGTCATAGGATACGTATGCCACGGAGGTAGTTGAAAGTTCTCTGCCAGTGCACACGGCTACGAAAATCACGCAACACAAACCTAAAACTAGCATGTCCGCCATTTTGGCCAGTCACATGACCTATCAAATATGCATTCGGACTTCTCCTGCTTTACTCATATCTTTCAATTTCAAAACAAGAAATGTTCCGAAAATTACATAGACTCTCCTGTGTTGGGTTTTGACGTCTGCACCATTAGTATATATTTGCTCACCTGACCTAGGTGTTGCCCCACAGAAGATAACATAATTAGCATGATTGTTTCACTGATAACGGGATGATTGCATCTCATGTGATGTAGCTAAAAGCTGTGATGATTTGAAGGACAACACTGTCAGCTGCTGACATGTTAACAGGATGTGATTAATGCACAAAGCAGTCCAGTGCACTAATGTTATAATGATCAGAAACATAACATGCCAGAACTTTTGTGAAATATGAAAATCAACGAGAAAAGTTTAGTGAAATTCGCCTCGTCTGGGGCACCCGCTGATAAAGAAGGTCCATTACTTAAGAGAGGTGAGCTCAATAAGGGGTTCCAGAAGCGATGGTTTGTGTTAAAAGGAAATCTTTTTTTTTACTATGAGAGAAGGACAGATAAAGAACCAATTGGCGTGGTAGTCCTGGAAGGATGTACAATAGAACTCGCAGAGAACACAGATGGATTTACTTTCCAGATTGTATTTCCAGGAAGTCACTCCCGTACTTACACATTAGCAGCAGACTCGCAGGAAGAAATGGAAGCATGGATGAAAGTGTTAGCATGTGCAAGTTATGACTACATGAAGTTGATGGTTGCAGATCTGCAACAACAGATAGAGGAAATGAATTCTGAGACACAGCAGCGACTCGTGGAGCAGGCCAAACGAGATAGTAAGATGGTGCATTCCCAGTACCAGAAAATCTCCTACTCAGCTGATGATTCTAGTTATCATGACATATTAGGATTAACAGTGGATGAGAATGCTTCCATTAGTCCCCAAGGAAGAATAAGTAACCAGAGATTCAATCCTTTTAATTCTTCAGCTAATGATATATTAGAATCAGGCGGGGCAAAGTCAGGACAAGTTGTGGACTTGGTTAATGATTATTACGATGATTCTGCTGAAGTGAACCACAAAAGTTTTATAGAACTACACGAGGAATATGGAACACAAATACAGTGCCTAAGTGAGCTATGGAGAACTGGTGCCATGACCAGGAACTCTCTGTTGCTCTCTCCTGACATTTTATAGCTTCAATTTATAATTTCTTCCTAGACTATCTCAAAAATTAATATTGTGGGTCGTTTGCTTGTGGGAAGATTGTCCCTAAAGCATGGCCATGTGTAAGGAATGGTCTATAGGAATGTTGTAACTCAGGCCTGGGTGAGGATTGGTCTCTATGGATGTTGTAACTCGGGCCTGGGTAAGGATTGGTATATAGGGAGGTTGCCCCTGGGTGCCTATGAAGGAGTGATCTCAAGAGAGGTTGTTGCTGGAAGAGGGCCACTCTGTACGGAAATTGTCCTAGGGTAAGGATTCAAATCTCTAGAGAAATTGTCCTTGGGTGATGATTGTTTGTCTTGGGAGATTGCCCTTGGGGTCAGGATTGGCTTGAGAGAGGTTGTCCCTGTGTGAGGAATGGTCTCTGTGGAGATGTCCGTGGGTGAGGATTAGTTTCTATGGAGATTGTCCTAGGGTAAGGCCTCTGGAGAGGTTTTCCCACTGAGATCATCAGATTAGTATTGGCTACGTTTTTGTTTTGTTGCAGTGCATCTATGATTAGGGCCAGGGTACCGACACTTGGGAATTCAACATTTATATGGTCAGGATTCGGTTATACAGATCTCCACAAAAGTAAAGGGGTCATATTTCCTGAAATGAGTGATAAGTCTTATTTGGCTTGTCCTGAACAGTTGAAATTTTAATTGAATTTTCTTATAATTAATAGAAAAGTGTTTCCTTCATTATTATCCAAAATGGGATGATAATGATTTGTCTCCCTTTGTTGCTAATACAGATAGAGCCCAAAATGGAGCAATATAATGTTGCAATATAGTGTTGTGTCTGCCTAGCAATATAGTGTTGTCTCACTTGGTGTTTACAGCTGGAGCCCAAACTGGAGCAATATAGTGTTGTCTGCCTTGGTACTTGGGCCGAAACTGGAGCAATTAAGTGTTGTCTTCCTTAAGGCTTTGTGTTAACAGGTGGAGCCTAAATTGGGGAAATATTGTGTTGTCTCCCTTCATCATCAGATGGTGGGCAGTTCATCCGTTGTCCGTCCCTCCATCTGTAAGCAATTGTTGTTATCCCTGTTTCTTTAGTTGTACTGAAATCATCTTTCTCATATTTTGTATCTGGATTCCCATGATCGCTAATTGTGCATGTTTGATTTTGGGACTGATAAGAAAAAATTAAATATCTGATACGGATATTTTGGCGCCATAAAATTTGATATTTGTCCCGGGTTTGTCTGCTTGACTTTGGGACTGATTAGAAAAACAAAACATCATTGCTGTTCCTGAAGAAAAATTTCAAATTTCATAGATCGAGCAAACACAGAGGAAAGAATATTAGTAGGTATATAAAAAGGGAAACAGTCCAAATTAAGAACATATAAAGACCAGCCATGTTTGGCACCAACTTTAAAACCCTCTGAGATCTCTTATTTATAGATGTAGCCGAAACTGATGTGATACTGCAATACTTTTTGTTACATTTTCAGAAGTTCATTACCTACTTGTATTCATTTAAGGGTAGATTCAAAGACAAATGACAAAATAGAATGAAAGTTTATGTCAAATTGTTATATATACCGATATATATATATATATATATACGCTAAATGTATTACTTATATAGCATTTTGTACTTAAATATATGTATGTATATATATTTTTTTTTACTCAATCATGGTAGTTCAATTTTATTATATTGAAGCTTTTAAATAGACTTCTACATGAAATAAATGTTAAGTTAACAAATTAAACTTAATTACCTGAATTTCAATATTTTCTATAGAATTCAGAAATATACAATCATTAAGTAATTAAAAGTTATTAAAAGACAGCCATATATTAATGTCAAATTTTATCAATGGGCATTGTAATAATTGATAAGAAAATGTTTTGTCTCCCTTACATTTCTTGTTGTTCAATAACTTCCATTCCTTGGATATGAAGGTCTAAATGTTGAAGTAAAATAGTGAAGGTTTTCTTTTTTTTTTGAGAACCAACTACAACCTGCATTAGTTATCTATAATGTAGACCGTCACAATGGTACTGTACAAATGTTGTTGACAAGTACATGTAATTGACTGTTATGCTGTTTCTAATACATTGAATACATCTTTGTGATTGGGAATAACTTGTTCGTGGATATTTATATGTATCATCATGCGATACAGAGTATCAATATACCAAACTGTCATCATGAATGCTTATAGAAAGTGATGATTTATAAGATTAAAATCACAGATGTAACCATCATGTCAACACCTCTGTTATTCTAGTAAATTTAATAAATCATTTATATTAAAAGTCTTGATTTATTTATATATACATATTTAAAACATAGAGACCTTGACTACTTGCTTGTTTATATCACTATAGTACCATTTAAAGGACTTCTTCTTAATAATCAAACTGCCAAAGAGTGCTGATATTGGACCTGTTGTATGCTGGGATGAATGACCTTGATTCACTCTGAAGGTCACAGGAGTCAAATGCATTGAAATAAGAAAACCAAAATGCTGAGGGTGCTGATATTAGGCTTGTAGCATGCTGGGATGAAAGACTTTTTTAAATAAATGGCCTTGACATATTTTTAAGGTCACTGGGATCAAATGTGTTATAGTCTTTAAACAACTTCTCAATAACCAAAAGATCCAGTGTGCTGATATTGGTACTGTAGCATGCTAGGATATGATGGAGTACCAAGTTTGTTCAAATGAATGATCTTAATCCACTGTCCAGGTCAAGGGGCCAAACATGTCAAAAGTTTTTAAACAGAAACTTGATGATAACCAAGATGTCCAAGCTATCAATATTGGTTCTGTAACCTAACAGGATGAGGGGCTACCATATTTAAACAAATGATTAACTATGACCTACTTTCAAAATCACTTGTCAAACATTTTGAGAACTTATGATTTGTTCTGCAGCAAGAGGTCCTGGGTCATGATATTTGTGTTGTAGCATGCTTGAGATTTCAAGTTTTCATATGATGAACAGGCAAAGTCTTCAGTGTAAGCTGCTGAACAGTAGAGGAATACAGGCCCATTGAGCCTCTATCATATATATTTATAGTTAAATGACCATTAAGGTCCATGGGAGTCTTGTTTAGTAGATCACCTGAGATAAAGTTTCAAATGCAATAAATCAAACTTGGCTAAAATCATTAGTTTAGGATGGCAGATTGACAGTAATCACATACTTGACTGCTGGTGGCCATCAGATATACAAAATGACTGCTGGTGGCCATCAGATATACAAAATGACTTGGTGGCCATCAGATATACAAAATGACATGGTGGCCATCAGGTATACAAAATGACTTGGTGGCCATCAGATATACAAAATGACATGGTGGCCATCAGATATACGAAATGACTTGGTGGCCATCAGATATACAAAATGACTTGTTGGCCATCAGATATACAAAACGGCTGCTGGTGGCCATCAGATATACAAAATGACTGCTGGTGACCATCAGATATACAAAATGACTTGGTGGCCATCAGATATACAAAATGACTGCTAGTGGCCATCAGATATACAAAATGACTTGGTGGCCATCAGATATACAAAATGACTGCTAGTGGCCATCAGATATACAAAATGACTGCTAGTGGCCATCAGATATACAAAATGACTGCTGGTGACCATCAGATATACAAAATGACTGCTGGTGGCCATCAGATATACAAAATGACTTGGTGGCCATCAGATATACAAAATGACTGCTAGTGGCCATCAGAAATACAAAATGACTGCTGGTGACCATCAGATATACAAAATGGCTGCTGGTGGCCATCAGATATACAAAATGACTTCTGGTGGCCATCAGATATACTAAATGACTGCTGGTGGCTATCAGATATACAAAATGACTTGGTGGCCATCAGATATACAAAATGACTTGGTGGCCATCAGATATACAAAATGACTTGGTGGCCATCAGATATACAAAATGACTTGGTGGCCATCAGAAATATAAAATGACTTGGTGGCCATCAGATATACAAAATGACTGCTAGTGGCCATCAGATATACAAAATGACATGGTGGCCATCAGATATACAAAATGACTGCTGGTGACCATCAGATATACAAAATGACTTGGTGGCCATTAGATATACAAAATGACTTGGTGGCCATCAGATATACAAAATGACTTGGTGGCCATCAGATATACAAAATCACTTGTTGGCCATCAGATATACAAAATGACTGCTGGTGGCCATCAGATATACAAAATGACTGCTGGTGGCCATCAGATATACAAAATGACTGCTGGTGACCATCAGATATACAAAATGACTTGGTGGCCATTAGATATACAAAATGACTTGGTGGCCATCAGATATACAAAATCACTTGTTGGCCATCAGATATATAAAATGACATGGTGGCCATCAGATATACAAAATGACTGCTGATGGCCATCAGATATACAAAATGACTGCTGGTGGCCATCAGAAAAACAAAATGACTTGGTGGCCATCAGATATACAAAATGACTGCTGGTGGCCATCAGAAAAACAAAATGACTTGTTGGCCATCAGATATACAAAATGACTTGGTGGCCATCAGATATATAAAATGACTTGTTGGCCATCAGATATACAAAATGACTTGGTGGCCATTAGATATACAAAATGACTTGTTGGCCATCAGAAATACAAAATGACTTGTTGGCCATCAGATATACAAAACGGCTGCTGGTGGCCATCAGATATACAAAATGACTGCTGGTGGCCATCAGAAAAACAAAATGACTTGGTGGCCATCAGATATATAAAATGACTTGTTGGCCATCAGATATACAAAATGACTTGGTGGCCATTAGATATACAAAATGACTTGTTGGCCATCAGATATACAAAATGACTGGTAGTGGCCATCAGATATACAAAATGACTTGTTGGCCATCAGAAATACAAAATGACTTGGTGGTCATCAGATATACAAAATGACTGCTGGTGGCCATCAGATATACAAAATGACTGCTGGTGGCCATCAGATATATAAAATGACTGCTAGTGGCCTTCAGAAAAACAAAATGACTGCTGGTGTGAGGATTATACATTGAAAGTGAATTCTACGTCAGAGAATTTGGACTAAAAACCTTGAGAAAATCTGAAGAGATACAGCTGGATAAGTGAGGGGTTGTACCCCAGAGAATTTGGACTGTAAACTTTGAAAAAAAAAACTTAATAGATACGGCTTAATAGGTGAGTCCTACTTTGAGAATAGTTTTGCAAACTCGGCAAAACCATAGTAATGACTCTCAGAATTTACCACGAAATGACACTTTACTTCTATATTTGGGTTTTCTCATTCGTTTACGCATGTGTCCCCCTTTTTGAGGTGATTTGTACAGAATGTAAACTTTCTCTCAACAGCCACAATAATATTTTGATAATAATATGTTTTTTGATAAATCAACCAAGTACAGCTGAAAGTGGCCTACTTTACATACAAATCAGAACATGTCTCAATATACCATGTAGTCACACTGCTTGCGGATTAATTAATTCTCCTTGTAATGTTTTTTTTTGTTACCTTTTGAACTCTGACCAAAAGTCGGGAAAAATTAATCAAATCAGTTAAAATAGACTTAAAACTAGGCCACAGAATAAAATTGTATCAATAGTTTACACAAAACCTAAAATCACAATGATAAATATCGGGAAATTCTGTCAGTGCTGGGCCTCGATTTCATCGATATAGTCATGTCTAAAAATAACTACTGAAGTCATGTGATCAACACCCTCATACAAAATTTTCAGTCAAAGTTTTGATATCTGTAAAAAGACAAGACTCGGGGAACACTTGATAAAACGAAACAGGTACGTTAACTTGATTCAAAGGTACAGCTAACACGTGCCCACGTGTTACTAATGTAAACAACATGGTGGCATTATTTTACTTCCGGTATCTATGTCACTGTTTACCCGGGTTACTGATCATGATGGTTTTTTAGGTTCCGGAGATACCACAATAATCCAATCAATTTTATCATTTGAACAGGATGCTATAGATGATATGTTTTATCACAGGGACTTGTGATTTCATCACATGTAATTACATTATAGCAGACATCTGTTTAACACAGGGATCTGTACTATTCGAAAAAGTTACATTATCATAGTGATTGAATTTGCTATCGACAGAGCCCTGTATAATAACAGGGGTCTGTAATATCACAGGGCTCTGTATCATCACATAGCCCTGTATAATAACAGGGGTCTGTAATATCACAGGGCTCTGTATCATCACATAGCCCTGTATAATAACAGGGGTCTGTAATATCACAGGGGTCTGTATCATCACATAGCCCTGTATAATAAGGGGTCAGTAATATCACAGGGTCTGTAATATCACAGGGGTCTGTATCATCACATAGCCCTGTATAATAACAGGGGTCTGTAATATCACAGGGGTCTGTATCATCACATAGCCCTGTATAATAACAGGGGTCTGTAATATCACAGGGGTCTGTATCATCACATAGCCCTGTATAATAACAGGGGTCTGTAATATCACAGGGGTCTGTATCATCACATAGCCCTGTATAATAACAGGGGTCTGTAATATCACAGGGCTCTGTATTATCACATAGCCCTGTATAATAACAGGGGTCTGTAATATCACAGGGGTCTGTATCATCACATAGCCCTGTATAATAACAGGGGTCTGTAATATCACAGGGGTCTGTATCATCACATAGCCCTGTATAATAACAGGGGTCTGTAATATCACAGGGGTCTGTATCATCACATAGCCCTGTATAATAACAGGGGTCTGTGTTATCACAGGGCTCTGTATCATCACATAGCCCTGTATAATAACAGGGGTCTGTAATATCACAGGGGTCTGTATCATCACATAGCCCTGTATAATAACAGGGGTCTGTAATATCACAGGGGTCTGTATCATCACATAGCCCTGTATAATAACAGGGGTCTGTAATATCACAGGGGTCTGTATCATCACATAGCCCTGTATAATAACAGGGGTCTGTATCATCACATAGCCCTGTATAATAACAGGGGTCTGTAATATCACAGGGGTCTGTATCATCACATAGCCCTGTATAATAACAGGGGTCTGTAATATCACATACATAGCCCTGTATAATAACAGGGGTCTGTAATATCACAGGGGTCTGTATCATCACATAGCCCTGTATAATAACAGGGGTCTGTAATATCACAGGGCTCTGTATCATCACATAGCCCTGTATAATAACAGGGGTCTGTAATATCACAGGGGTCTGTATCATCACATAGGTCTGTATAATAACAGGGGTCTGTATCATCACATAGGTCTGTATAATAACAGGGGTCTGTAATATCACAGGGGTCTGTATCATCACATAGCCCTGTATAATAACAGGGGTCTGTAATATCACAGGGGTCTGTATCATCACATAGCCCTGTATAATAACAGGGGTCTGTGTTATCACAGGGGTCTGTATCATCACATAGCCCTGTATAATAACAGGGGTCTGTAATATCACAGGGGTCTGTATCATCACATAGGTCTGTATTATCACAGGGGTCTGTATTATCACACAGGTCTGTATCATCACATAGCCCTGTATAATAACAGGGGTCTGTGTTATCACAGGGCTCTGTATCATCACATAGCCCTGTATAATAACAGGGGTCTGTAATATCACAGGGGTCTGTATCATCACATAGGTCTGTATTATCACAGGGGTCTGTATTATCACACAGGTCTGTATCATCACATAGCCCTGTATAATAACAGGGGTCTGTAATATCACAGGGGTCTGTATCATCACAGAGTTCTGTATCATCACAGGGGTCTGTATCATCACAGAGTTCTGCATCATCACAGGGGTCTGTATTATCACAGAGGTCTGTATTATCACATAGCCCTGTATAATAACAGGGGTCTGTAATATCACAGGGGTCTGTATCATCACATAGGTCTGTATTATCACAGGGGTCTGTATTATCACATAGGTCTGTATCATCACAGAGGTCTGTATCATCACAGGGGTCTGTATTATCACAGAGGTCTGTATGATCACAGGGGTCTGTATGATCACAGGGGTCTGTATGATTACAGGTGTCTGTATCATCACAGGGGTCTGTATTATCACAGGTGTCTGTATTATCACAGGGGTCTGTATCATCACAGGGGTCTGTATCATCACAGGGGTCTGTATCATTACAGAGGTCTGTATCATCACTGGGGTCTGTATTATCACAGGGGTCTGTATCATCGCACGGATCTGTATTTTTTTTTTCAGAATCCATTATTGAAATCTCAAACTCGTTTTTATTTTACATTAAAATCTTGAAACTGGAATTGCCCTTTTTTTTTAACGAAATGAAATGAAATATTTAAATTTTCTTGTGTGAGTTTCATATGAATAGAAACTAGATTTCCTAATTCTGTTCCAAATAAAACAATAAAGCACAATTTCTCTGTATACTGATGTTTATTCTGAATGTAACATTTTTTTGTCACAGATAATTATTGGATGCTCACGCTGAAATATGGAGGCAAGTGATGTGATGAAGATTGGTGACGGTGATCAGAGAGTCAGGATTGTTCACTTGTCAGATACGCATTTGTTTCATGACCAGAAATATCTACCAAGACTTCCAGCTGGAGATGTACTCGTCCATTCTGGTGATTTTTGCACCACTGGCTGGTCTCGCTTGGTCAAGAATCCAGACTACGATAGCCATATAGAACAAATCAATGATTTCTTCAGTAAAGTTCCTCACAAACATAAAATATTTGTTGGTGGAAATCATGATATGGCAATAGCTGGCCAAAGACAAGAAGATGTTCAAGAGATTCTTCACAACGTCACCTATTTACAAGATTCTGGTGTTAATATTGAAGGAATTAATTTTTATGGATCACCATGGACAGCTTACAAGTGGAGATCTTATAACCGAGCTTTTGTTCGGAAGTGGGGAAAGTTTGAACATCACTGGGATGATATTCCCACTACAACTGATGTATTGGTGACACACATGCCCCCTCAAGGCATCAGGGACATGGGAAGAGTGGGATTTTCACCCTTCAGAAGGAACAGGAGGGACATATGTAATATCTGCCATCAAACACACGAAGGGCTTTGTCATCTTGGTTGTCCAAAACTACGGAACGCTATATTAAACAGAGTCAAGTATGTTTATCTACAAGAAAAAAGAGAAAAAAAATGATTGTTGGGATTTTTGGCTTACATTTATCTGAGACTAATCCTAAAGGGGCAGGGTTGAGAAAGTACAGCATGAGGCGAGGATGGAGGTGAGAAAGTCAGGCAGTCTATGGAATGATCTGGAAGACATAGGGTGTGGAAGGCTAAACTAGAGATGAGAAATCTGACTTTATATGGGGATGATCTAGAGGGTGAAGGGTGCAGAAGGATTAGGCTGAGGTGAAAGAAAACCAAACAGTCTCTTGGAATGATCGTGGAGGCATAGGGTGTGGAAGGCTTAGTCTGAGGCAAGAGGGAACCAGACCGTCTCTAGGGATGTTTGTGGAGGTGTAGGGTGTAGAAGGATGAGGCAAGAGGGAACCAGACTGTTTCTAGGGATGATCATGGAGGTGTATGTAGTAGAAGGATGAGGCAAGAGGGAATCAGACTGTCTCTGGGGATGATCGTGGAGGTGTAGGGTGTGGTAGGCTTAGGCTGAGATGGGAGAGAATCTAACCTGTCTCTGGGGATGATCGTGGAGGTGTAGGGTGTGGTAGGCTTAGGCTGAGATGGGAGAGAATCTAACCTGTCTCTGGGGATGACCTGGATGTTGTAGGGTATGGAAGGCTTAGACTGAGATGAGAAAGAGCCTGACCATTCTGGGGATGATCTGGAGGGCAAAGGGTGTTGTAGGCTTAGTGTGAAGTGAGAGAGAATCTGACTGTCTCTGGGGATGATCTGGAGATTGAAGTGTCTGGAAGGCTTAGCCTGAGGCGAGAGGGAATCAGAATGTTTCTGGGGATAACCTGGATGCCACCTGGTGTATTTTTTGGTCTATAATCTGTTTACCATCTCGTCACACTGTTTAAAGCCTTAGTGTACATAGCATTATAGTGCAGCTGAACCAGTTGGTCGATTCCTTACCATCTCATACATTACGTATGTCAGTGCTTGTATGCTCCACAATGGTTATTTGTCTGATGAAGGTGACTGTGTAGTCATCAAAACGTCACACTCAAATCTTCTACTAGTTCTGTTATAAGAACTTCTATTCTATTGACGTTATCAACCTGAAGAAAATGTTCCAAAAACAAACAGTACTACCTTTACTTTCTCTACACCCCTGCTAAATTAAGGATAGAAATGGTGTGTTGGGTATACCTATAAATACAAGATAACAAAATAGCCACAGTGATGTATTCTTCTGTTTCAGACCCAAACTCCACTGTTTTGGTCATATGCATGGAAGTGCAGGACAACAACAGATTGATAACACAACCTTCTCCAACGCTGCCCTCAGCATTCACGTGTTCGACTATTACGTATAATGGACTTTTAACAGATTAAAGGATGTGACTGGCCAGTTGTGCTGTCATGTGATATGGGCTTGGTGTACTGTTACCAGTGATGCGAAATGGATGTTATGTATACATACTGTCAAGTGAGATTGATGTTTCACTCTGTCAGTACATAGCATAGTGATAAGCTTGATAGTCGATTGGCTGAGAATGTGTTGCCTATGATTAACATGGTGTATACTGTATTGTCAGATATGTACTGCAAAGTGAGAAAGCCATAATGTCCTACATGAGGTGGGCGTGGTATACTGTGACATCAGATATAAGCTTGGTGTACTGTCAAGCTAGATGGG